AGCCAAATACTTCATCACTTTGCCACCAGGACTCTTTCAGGGAACTCATTGCTGTCAAGTTGATTCTGAGTCAGTGACCCTATAGGACAAGGTAGAACTGGAAACCACAGGGTTTCCAAGACTGTAAATCTTTTCATGGAATCAGATCACCACGTTTTTCTCCTGAGGAGTGGCTGGTGGATTCAAATAACCAACCATTGGGTTAGAAGCCAAGCACTTAACCACTGTACTTCCAGGGCTTCTTCAGGCAAACCTTGTGCAGAAATTATTGTGTTGTCTCTCTCAGGGACTTGTTATTTCATCTATCAGAGGACAGATTCAAGTAACATTTTCCTAAAGTTGGGGAATAGGGTCTTTTGGTAATTAAAAAAAAAAGCAAAGTTAACATATGTATCACACATGGTTTCCAAGAACTAAAAGACTTCAGAGTTATTATTGCCAACATCAGGGATCCTGGCTCAATATTACAAACTTAGAAACTAGGATAGATCCCTACTGACAATATGACATGCTCTGAGAGTTGACTTTTAAAATAAATTCCAGCTATCAATTCCAGTTTACTTGTCCCATGGCCTTTCTTATAAGATGAATATAAATAAAATGCTCACAGAAGTTGGCTGTGTATATGAAGCCAAGAAATGTCAGATTCAACCAATGGTCATCCACTGACTATATCTTCATATTATATGGAGAATTTTTTTAAGCAACCTGGGAGACAAGACACAATCCAGTGAAGACTAGGAAAGATCCAATAAAAGGGTGCACCCTCAATTATCTGGCTACAGAGGAGAACATCAATAATCAACTACAGGGTACATACTTTTTAGCTCAGTGACTGATCAGCAGAGACCTTTTAAACACTTCTGTAGCACTAACCACAATCTAACTTATACCTTAGAACCAGACTAAGACAAACTAAGAAAGCACTGACAATCTACTTCCAAAAATTAGCCAACGAAAATCTTATAGATCATAACAGAATATTATCTGATGTAGTGCTGGAAGATGATCCCCTAATCTGGAAAGCATTCAAAATACACTATGGCTGCAACAATTGACTCCTTAGCAACAATAGTGAGGATGATGCCAGACCAAGCAATGTTTCATTTTGTTGTAGGTGAGTTGCCGTGTGTTGGAAGCTGACTAAGGTAAACTAACAACAATTGCCTCTCATAGATTATCTTCTACAGTCTTCATGACAACTTTATGGAGGTAGGATCTATGGTTATGCCCATTTTCCAGATGAAAAAACAGAGGTATAGAGAGGCTAAATGGCTTGTCCAAGGTCACAAAGCTGGTGAGTGGTAAAGCCAGAGCTAGGACCTACGGTGGTCAGAACCTGAATTCTTAGTCTGAGTTTTCATTTGCTTTCCTTAATTTTTAATTTTTATACAATATGCAGAGATAATTTAATAATCAGAAAACTAAACAAAAATTTAAAAAATAAGAGTTCTGGGAAATATAGGTTAATTTCTGCCTAATTGCTGCCTGGGAGCTCTGGTAGCGTAGTGCCTAAGGCACTTGACTGGTAACCAGAAGGCTGGCAGTTCAAACCCACCAGCCACTCCTCAGAAGGGAGGTTGGACAATCAACTTCCATAGTGATACTGCCTCAGATACCTGAGGAGGGGTCACTATGAGTAGGGTTTGACTCGATGGCAGTGAGTTTGGTTTTTAATTGCTGCCTATATGTAAGTTATTTCTGTTAAAAAGCATGCCTATCTCTTAGAATCTCTCTTTTGCACTGGCTTCTTTTACCTGATTATTTTAGACAGGATTATCCACTAAAATGGCTCAAGAGTGTATTGAGCTGCTGCTTCCTTTTATGAAATTTCCTCTTAAGTGCTAATTATTCTTATACTCAGAAACATACTCTAAAGACTTCAGTAGCTTTGTTCTAATGAAAGAACAAAGATGATCGGTTTTGGACCTCATACTCTACCCCAGGGACTGTGTTACGTGTCTGTGTTATTCCTAGTTATCATGTGATTTGGAAAATAGCTATTATCATGCCATTTTATAGATGAGGGGCAGGTAGTAGAGATACTAAGTAATTTGTCCTCTGACACTCAGCTTGCAAATGGCTGAACTGAGATTAAAGCTCAGATCTGTAAGAAAAACACTGTCCATCATTCTGTACTTTCTCACCTGCAAAAAGCTTCCAATCCCTTAAAAAAATAAGAAGAAGAAGAGAAAAAGAAAACAAAAATGAGGGTACAAAAGATAAGAAAGAGCAGCAAGCACCACTATGGCAGCCCGTCTAGCAACCTCTGTCCCACATTCTGTGCTTCTGATGGCTTCCATTTCCAGCACAGCCAATCCTTCAGGCCAGCCCAGATGCATCTCACAATTTGGCAAATATGTGGGATCCAGTAAAGCTCTTCAGCAACAAATGTGACCTCAGACCTGGGACAAATTTGTTTTCCACGTGTTTGGGATAAAATTGAAGGGGGGAAAAAAGTTATCGTTGAATCAATTCTGGCTCATGGTGACCATATGTGTATCAGAGTATGCTCCCTAGGGTCTTCCAGGGCAGAGTTTTTCAGAAGTAGATTGTGAGGCCTTTCTTCTGAGGCACCTCTGGGTAGACTCAAACCTTCAACCTTTCTGATTGGAACCCTTAACCATTTGCACTACTCAGGGACTCCTAAGGATATAGCAAAAGAAGGAAGGAGGAAGATGAGTTTGATGACTGGTTGTTCACGTCTGCTGGCTGTCTACACACCCTGCTCTGCTATGTGTGCAGACTTAGGGAACAGGGCCAGGAGGGAGCAGGAGGCCAGGCCCTCAGGCTGAGAATCTATAAGTTTCTAGAGCACCGGGCTCTACACTCAACCGGGCAGTGGTTTTAGCTCCTCTTCAAAGAGGAGGCCACAAGCTCTAAAAAACAGGATACCATTCCATTTGCAACAGGGTGACAGTTTTACATGTGGGAGGAATATGAATTTTTTGGGGGGCCAAAAAGTGGAATGCTATGGGTTGAATTGTGTCCTCCAAATAAGGGCTGGAATACTGACCTCTATGCCTGTGAATGTACTCTCATTTGAGAATAGGATTTTCTTTGTTACGTTAATTAAGGTATACCCTAAACCCAATCACTCTGGAGATATATGAAGAGCAGCAGAGACAAGCAAGTACACATGGGGGAAGACAAAGTCTATCTGATGACCATGGACGTAGATGAATCTACAAGCGCAGGATCTCCAAGTATTACAGGCTATTGGATGCTGAGATGGACAGAGGAGGACCATCCCCTAGAGCTACATGCTGAATTCAGATGACTAGCCTCCTAAACTGTGAGAAAAAAATAGATTTCTGTTCCTTAAAGCCACCTACTTGTAGCATTTCTGTTACACCAGCTCTAGGAAACGAAGACACCATTCATTCTATCAGGAGGAAATTAAAACTCCAGTTTGGCAAGACCTTCAGCTGTGCAACTTTAATGTCCCATAGATAATTGTTCAGTTCTTATTACAGAAGTTATTCTGGCATTTAATAGATAATGAGTAAAATGGGATTTTCCTTTAGCAATCAATGTAAAAGGCAAGAGCACATTAACACCCATCAATTATTTTAGCTGTGCAAACGCCTGTGAAATCTCTAACACAAGCAATAAATGGAGGGGAAAAAAAGAAGCAAGGAATCTATTGGGGTGGGAATAACAAAAGTTAGGAGTCTAGGAAGACATTGCAGTCATCCTGATTCTGATCCAGAGAGAATTTCATCCATGCCTGCTCAATCACAGTATGTGAACTCCCTGGAGATTTATGTCCAAATTGGCATCTAGGACTTTTCTGCTGCACGCCTCCGTAATTTTAACCAGATATTGAAAGGAGTCCTGTGAATTACTACTCTAATTTTTTTTTTGTCATCCGGGCCAATTAGAACAGCATAGTTGTATCCAAAACAAACTTCAAAACACCCCTAAGGACCAAGCCCAAACTCACTGCCATCAAGTAGATTCCAACTCAGAGCGACCTCCTTTGCATTTCAGAGGTGGCAAATCTTTACAGAAGTAGATTGCCCAGTCTTCCTTCCATGGAGTGGCTGGGGGATTTGAACCACCAACTTTCTGGTTAGCAATCCTTAGGCATTGTGCCACCAGAGCTCCTTCCTTAGGATATGAGACTATTAAATTCAGTGTCTGCTAGATCTCATAGTAAAGGAGGAGTTTGAAATTACCTGCTTAATTGACTCATGCAGCCAGTCAATACAGTTTACCAGGATCTCAAAAGGATTTCTTTTTAAAGCATGTCTACTACTACTGGGTGGGGAAAATGGTTGACAATCATCTACTAACCTAAAGGTTGCTTGTTCAAACCCACCAGCGGCACCATGAAAGAAGGCCTGGTGATCTGCTTGCATAAAGATTATAGCCAAGAAAACTGTATGGAGCAGTTCTACTCTGTAACACACAGGGTTGCCATGAGTCAGAATCAACCCAATAGCAAAAGATTTGGTTTTTGTTTATCTATTTAGGACAGCCCTGTGATGGAAATACAATCTGAACTGTATCATCCCTACCCATAGCACTATCTTGAAAAACAAGTAGTCACTCTAAACTAGATGCTAGTGAAGGCCCACATTAAAAATTCACAAGCCCAAATCTGGAATGTATTACATGATAATTAAATTAAAAGTTTTAGTTATCCAATAATCAAGTCTAGGAGGGTAAGGACTTTCTGTAATCTAAAAATCAAAAGCAGATGGACAATGGCACTGCATCCTTTGGTTACACATATAAATAATAAAAAAATGATGATGAAAAGAGAGAGAGAATGCTGTTATTGTGAGTGGCATTCAGGTTAAACTACAAATGATGTTAAGAGAGAAGGGAGATTTGCTGGGTCTCATGGAGGATCAAAGGTTATTAAATAGACTATATTCCCAGGTGTTCTATCTGGCATTAACCTTCAGCACTACTGATTCTCAAAAATAAATCAATCTCAATGACAACCTCACTTCATAAAGAGAATTATCTACATAGATTCATGAAATCACCTTGACAAGTTCCATCATGTCTTTGACAAACCCGTCCACCTCTGGGCCTTCTAGTGCTCCAGTTTTACTCTGAAAGATAAAAGATCCATTCACACAAATATCACTGTCTTACATCAAAAAGCTAAGGAATAAATTAAGCAAATGGACTAAATCAGTTTAAGTGCAAACAGATTCAGAAATGACATAACATATGTTCTTTATAAAGAATGTGAATGTGCCACATGAATTATTCATTGTAAATAACCACTCTCCCAACCCCCCATATAGTCAAATGGGAAGCAGTAGTTTTGAGCTCCTTAGCTCTTATATATAACATTTATATGGCATATATTGAATTTATTTGGCTTGCAAGTACCAGGCTTTCACTCTGAGTGTTAACTTCACATCATACTGATCCTTTTAAAGACATGCTGACTTTTTTTTTTTCTTTATGATTTAGCAATGATTTGGTAATTATAAAAGTATAGATTTTAAATCAGGGGAGAATAGATTGAATGCACATTTTAAGGTTATCATATATTTGGTCTGAACATAAGATACTTATTTTTTTTTACCCACTTTATAACCCACAAAAATATGAATGTCTATAAAATACAATACATATTAAAATAATTTGCCTCTTCCTTAAAGTTTCAATTACGCATCCATTCTATTCAAGTTTCATTGATGGTTTAATCTTTAACATATGATTTCATAAGTTCTGTTTCCTTAGTGTATTTACCAAACTTTATCTAGTACTTACTATGTAGCAGGCCCTACTTTAAGAGCTTTACAGACATCAATGTATGTAATTCTCAAAACAATCTCATGATATAAATACTACACCCACTCCTCACTTATCAACATGGTTAGGTTCCAAAGACTAGGTCATTATGTGAAAGTCAGTGTGAAAATGGAGATGACCACATCAGATCACAAATGGAAGATGCCCACATCAGTACATACATAACTGCCAGACCACTGAGAGTCATGGCCCAGCTAAGCTGTCACATAAACTTAACCATCACAGACAAGTATTAATCTCACCTCACACCTCAGCATTTGTCACTGCCAGACTATGTCATTAATGTGCAAAATAGTAGGATAGTAGGTTTTTTTACTATTGTAAATGCAAAATGTTGGATGACAAGGTAGTTGATAAATGAGGAGTAGGTATATTTGTTATACTTACCACCTCAATTTTACACATAAGCAAACTGAGGCACAGAAAGGCTAAGGAACCTGCCCAAGGTCATGTGGCTAGTGTGCTGGGATTCAAACCCAGGTAGTTGATTACTGAGGCCACATGTTTAACCACTCTACACTGCTGTCTCTCAGAGGCAATGCTCTTTTCTACTCAGAGTATGACACATAGAGTTCCAGTCTGATTAGATATCTTAGGATCTTTTCCAACTTCTATGTTTTATTCCTTCTTGTACTTTCTTACCTTGTCCTCAAGAAATTCAATCCCTATGCGATACTGTGTGCTTTAGAATTACTATTATTTTCTCCTCAAAAGTAGGATAGAATAATTAGTCCTATGAAAGAAATAATTTTATGCTAAATAAGTCTGATTTTGCTTCTATGTCTTTGGAGAGGATGTATATGTTGTTGTTGTTGTAGTTTATCCTTTTGTTTTAGTTTGGTTTTTGAGCATACCATTTTAGATGGAGACCAAGAAGGAGAAAATTTCTTAGTTCAGAACCAAGGAACAAAAACAAACACTGTGATTTCATTCTCTTTTCAATTACATTCTTTTGGCCATTTACACTTAGTTCTCAGAATTTATATGGAGAAATTGATGTACCTTGGTGTACCAACATATATGTGGGATCACTATTCATATCAGTTTAGAGTCCATGGGTAGGATGACCCCACACACAAGTACTACACAAGCTTTCTGCCTAAAGATGGCCAGTACAATATGAACAAACATACTTACAACATCATAGTGGGCAAAGATTTTCTCAAAATCTCTCTTTCTTTCTTCAGCGGAGGAAGCCTGTTATGGAAAAAGTATCATGTCAGGTTAGAAATGTGGACTTCAATTGTACAGCTTCCAGGTGCTGGAGCAACTTTTATAAACTTTAAGTCAATAACCTTTAATCCCTTAAATCTACTTTGAACTTCGTCAGCCTGTAGTTATGTTAAAGCCAAGACAATTATATGCCTTCCCTTCTCGCCCTGTCAAATCTTTAGGGAAACAAAAATGATAGAGTCTCATCTAGAGAAATGTCAATACTTACATCCATTTTAAATTGGAGAAGGAAGTTTTCCTGAAGAGCCAGAATTCTAATTGGAAAAATAAAAAAAGAAAGTCACATGATTACCTATCAGCTCTCACTTACAAGCAAATTCATAGCTCTAGTGTAAGGAAAGAGCAGACAATTTCCAGATTATCCTCACAGTAAAATAGGTATTAATAAATAGGAATTTGTATGTGATTAAAAAAAATCATAAAAAAATTAATTGGGGATCTCGTAGGTATTAGTGGTTCACAGAGTGACTTTTAAAAATTTATCTTGATGGAAAATGGGGGAGTAATGATCTCTGATAACTCTCTTTCCCATAAAAGCAACAGCAACAACAACAACAACAACAACAACAAAAAAAAACTGGAAAAAATTGTCAGAATTTATTTATTTATTTTTCGATCTCTGGAAATTAGCCAAAGCTTACAGCAATCTGGGGAGCATTTATTCAGGGAAAAATAGTTGAAGGTTGGTAAAAATAGCAATTTTTTAAAAAATTGTTTATTGTGATTTGGTGAAAGTTTACAGAGCAGTTATTTTCCATACAACAGTTCATATACATTTTGTTTCGTGACATTGATTACAACCCTCATAATGTAACAGCTCTCTTCCCACTTCCTCTCTGTGGTTACCTTTCCCTTGTGTCCTTCTTTCTTATGCATTCCTGCCCTCTGAGCTATTCCCTGTGCAAATACTTCCCTTCTGATCTCCCATGGTTTATTGTTCTAAGGTGTGCCTACTAAGTGCAAGTGTTCACCTTATGTGCCAAAAACAGCAAGTTTTATGGCATTTTCACTTGCCTACTCCCATCTCTCTTCCTCTCAGCTCCATGGTAGTCTTGAAAAGCACTAGCCCACAATCACAGGGAAAACTTAACAGTCACTGAAGAAAGCTAACCAGGGTTTGAAGATCTTCAAAAACTAATTCCCAGAAAAGTACCATGATTTAACCTATCTGATGGTTGCCTGGGAAGACTGACTTCCAAGGCTGTCTTTTTTCCACCTGATTCTGAGCTTAACGTGTGAAAAGCCTTTTCCTGAGGGCATGTATCAAAAGCAACTAGAGGCAATTGTTCAAGATCACAATTGACTAAGGCAGTGGGTTAGAGTTGAGACAAAGAAGAGGATAATCAAATAGCTTAAAAGGAAAAGCTGCAGAATATGAAAGCAGCTCTGGTGGCATAGTGCCTAAGGCTTTTGACTGCTAAGCAGAAGGTTGCAGTTCAAACCCACCAGCCACACCATGGAAAGAAAGATTTAATAAGCTTCAGCAGATTTCTGGGACTCTGGAAGACCACACATATGTGTAGGGCTGTGCCCATGCCAGGAGCTGTGTATATGCTGAGACAGAATTGAAGGAAGAAATAGAAAATTCAACAGTAATAGTTGGGGACTTCAATACTCTGTTTTCAACAATGAACTGAAACAACTAATCGTAGGATCAACAAGAAATAGACCAACTAAATAATAAACCAATTGAACTTAACAAACAGCTATAGAACCAACCACTCAACAACAGTAGGATATACATTTTTCTCAATGTTCCATGTATAAAACATTTTCTAGGATAGCTCATATGGTAGACCATAAAAGAAGTCTCAATCAATTTTGAAGGGTTGGATCATAAAAAGCATGTTTTCTGACCATAATGAAAGAAAACTAGAAATTAATAATAGAAAAAAAATGGGGAAATTCATAAATATGTGGAAATGAGTCAGAACCAACTCTACAAAAGTGAGGTTTTTGGGGTTTTTGGGAGGGGCGGTGGGGTGGGGGACTCCTAAATAAGAAATAGGAGCTCTGATGGCATAGTGCCTAAGGCATTTGACTGATAACCAGAAGGATGGTGGTTCAAACCCACGAGCCACTCCTTGGAAGGAAGGTTGGGCAATCTACTTCCGTAGTATTACTGCCTTGGAAACCCAAGGAGGGGTTGCTGTGAGTCAGGACCTACTCAACAGCAGTGAGTTTGGTTTGGTTTTGGGAAATAAGAAATGGAGAAAATGCTATGTCAATCCAGCAATGTGAACTTCAGTTCACATTCACATTCAAGCTCTTGAACAACTTTCATAAACTTTGAGTCAATGACCCTTAGTCCCTTGAGTCTATTCTGTCCCTTATTAGTCTCCAGATAAGAAAATTATTATTTCTTATAAAATCATTTTTAATTTTCTAAGAAAAATAGAAAATACATTGAGATGAATGGTAACAAAAACACAACATATCAAAATATATGTGATGTAGAGAAAGTAGTGCTTTGAGAGAAATATATTGCTGTAAACTAACATATTAAAGAAAACAAAAGATCTCAAATCAATAACCTAATCATCCCCCTCAAGAACTGAAATAAAGAAGAGGAAATTACTCAAAAGAAGAAAGGAGAAAATAATAGATCAGAGTTGAAATAATTGAAGTAGTTAATAGAAAAAGAATAGACAGTATCAACAAAATTAAAAGCTGATTCTTTAAAAAGAAAACACAATTGACAAAACTTGAGCTAGATTGACACTCACAAAAAAGAGAGAAGGCTCAAATTACCTAAATAAAAAAAAAAATGACAGAAGAACTAGATGGTGCCCAGCTACCACTGTCATCCCCTTGGAAGGTGATCTACATAGGAGATCCTTGATAGAGAGGGAGAACAATGTGGAACAAAACTCAAAATCATTTGGAGGAAAAAAAAGGGGGGGGGGACCAGGTTTGTTGTTCCAATAGAGCCTTGATTGTTCTCTCCAAGGAGAGAACATGGGAGAAAGAAGGGCTGCTAATGCACAGGGAGATAGCTAAGGGGCCAGGAGTCCATGTAGGGATGGACACAGGGAAAAGGTAACTATGGGGAGGAAGTGGGAGGGGAGCTGTTGCATTGTGGTAAACTGCGGTCAATGTCATGAGAAAAAGTGTATGTGAACTGCTGTATGGAAAGTGAATTTGCTGTAAATCTTCACCCAAATCACAATTTTAAAAAAAAGATAAAATAAAAAAAATGAAAGCAGAGACATCATTACTGATCTTATACAAATAAGAAGGATTATAAAGGAATGTTATGAATAATTGTATGCCAACACATTATAGAATCTAGAAGAAATAGTCCAATTCCTTAAAAGACATGAAGTACTGAAATTGTCTCAAGAAGAAAGAGAAAAATCTAAACAGATCTATAACAAGAGATTGAGTTAGTAATCAAAAAAATCCCCCCCATGCACAAACACACACAAAGCCTAGGACCATGTCATAGCTTCACTGATGAGTTTTCACAAATGCTTAAAGAATTATCACTAGTCCTTCCAAAAAGTAAAGAGAAGAAAATGTTTCCCAATTCATTCTATGAGGCCAGTATTTCCCTGATACTTAAAGCAAACAATGATATCACAAGGAAAGAAAAGTACAGACCAATATCCTTATAAATAATACCCAAAACTCATTGCCTTAGGGTTAATCCTGACTCATAGCAACTCCACAGGGCAGAGTAGAATCACCCCATAAGATTTCTAAGACTGAAATCTTTATGGAAGCAGACTGATACATATTTCTCCCATGGAACATCTGATGGGTTTCAACACTGCCCTTTTGCTTTCAGTTAGCAGCCCATTTCTTTAACTACTGTGCCACCAGGACTCCAATTTATAAATAATAAATGAAAAAGCTCACAACAAAATACTAGCCAACTCAATCCAGCAATATATACAAAGGATTATACAACATGACCAAGTGGTGTTTATCTCAGGTATGCAAGGTTGGTTTGACCTATGCAAATCACTCAATATAATGTACTACATTAATAGAATAAAGGGAAAAAAAATATGATCATCTCAATAGATGTAGTAAGCATTTGAAAAAGTCCAAAATCTATTCCTGATACAAATCTCAGCAAACTAGAAAAAGAAGTGAACTTTTTCAACCTGAAAAAAGGCATCTGTGAAATACCCATAATTTATGTCATAAGTAAGGATAAAAGTCTGAAAACTTTTATTCTAAAATCAAAATCAAGGCATCTTCTAAGTGACCAGCCTAGCTTCAAATCTCTCTTGATCTGACTATTTGCCTTCCTCTTCCACATTTAAAGGAAGTTTGTTATTACACTGGGCTCACTAATACAATCCAAAATAATCTCTTTATTTTACGGTCTGTTGATTGGTAACCTCAATCCCATCTGTAACTCTAATTCATCCTTGCCATGTAATATAAAATATTCACAAATTCCAGGGATTAGGATATGATCGTCTTTCTTTTTCTTACTATATTTGTCATTTTCAAATTGCATATAAAATTGATTTTGAAATCATATAGTAACCATTTTGCTGGTTTGCATCTCTGTTCATTGCTACTTTAACTCCTTGAATCCACAAGGATTATTGAATCCTTCTATGTACACAACACTCCACTAGCTGAGAAGCTATTTGAGAGATTAAGTCAAAGTCGCTACTCTCTTAACCATAACCAGTTGCTGCTGAGTCAATTCCAACTCATGTGTGGGACCCAATGTGTGTCAGAATAAAATTGCGCTCCATAATGCTGTCAAGGCTGATTGTTCAGAAGTAGTTCACCAAGCCTTTCTTCCAAGAAGCTACTGGGCAGACTCAAACCTCCAACTTTTCAATTAGCAGCCAAGCATGTTAACCATTTGCACTACAATGGCAGAACTTCCCCTTGGAGGTGTTTGAATATCTGTAGGAGACCTTTTCAGTTATTATAGTGAGAAAGAGCACTATTGTTATTTTGTAGCTGGAGTTCAGGATGTAGATGTCTTATATTTCATGAACAGTCCCATAGCACTTACATACTGAAATATACATTATTTATTAATCCTTATTTTCCTTTCATTTCTATCTGATTTTATAGCTTGGACATAAACTATTTTAGAATTATGTATGTAGGAAGGTGTGGCAGACTGAAAAATGCCTTCCTCCTATAGATATCAGGTCCTAATTCCTGGAACTTCAAGGCATTACCTTATTTGGCAAACAATATTTGCAGATTGATTAACCCTTTCATTGCCAAATTATTATCTGCTCTGAATTTTTTTATTGATGCCATGTTTTCGGTAACAGAAGGCATGCTCTGTTACTGAAGAAACAGAGAATTTCCAGAAGAAATCAAGGAAAAAATATTTTTGATGTAACATGGATTTTGATACAATTTATGGGACACATAATAAAACTCCTCACAACTAGACAAATCACAATTTTGATACAATTATGTGAGACATAAAAATCCTCACAACTGAACCAATAAGCAGCATCACAATAAATGGAGAAAAGATTGAAGTTGTCTAAGACTTCATATTACTTAGTTCTACAATCAACACCAATGGAAGCAGCATTCAAGCCATCAGACGGTGTATTGCATTGGACAAATCTGCTGCAAAAGACTTCTTTCAAGTGATGAAGAGCAAAGATGTCTCATTGAAGACGAAGCTGTGCCTAACACAAGCCATGGTATTTTCAATTCCCTAATATGCATGTTAGAGCTGGACAATGAATAAGAAAGTCCAAAGAAAAGTTGATGCTTTTAAATTGTGGTGTTGGCAAAGAATACCGAAAGTACCATGGACTGCCAGAAGAACGAACAAATCTGTCTGGGAGGAAGGGCTGCTAGAATGCTCCTTGGAAGGGAGAACGGCCAGACTTCATCTCACCTACTTTGGTCATGTTGTCAGAAGGGAATATCCCCTGAAGAAGGATATCATGCTTGGTAAAGTGGAGGGTCAACAAAAAAGGGGAAGTTCCTCAACAGGATGGACTGGCACAGTGACTGCAATGATAGGCTCAGGTACAGCAAGGATCATGAGGCTGGCACAGGACCAGGCAATGTTTCATTCTGTTGTACATAGGGTTGCTATGAGTTGGAGATGACTCGACAACACCTAACAACAACAGCAACAAGTTGTGGGACACACATGTCTCAAGTAGACTTTAGTGGTAGGATTGGTGGACTGAGGCCTGTTTCTTCACATTCACACTGTTATACAGGTCCCTACCAGGTGGTAGCATGTACTGGGATAGCAGCTTCCCATGAAACCTGGTGGGTGATATATGCCCCACAGTTCATGAAAGGGTTAAACCGAAAAACTCATTGTCATCAAGTCGTTTCCAACTCATAGTGACCCCTCCTTGGGTTTCCAAGGCAGTATATCTGCAGAAGTAGATTGCCCAATCTTCCTTTCGAGGAGTGGCTGGCAGATTTGAACCACCAGACTTCCAGTTACAATTTACAAATGCCTTAGGTACTATGCCACCAGAGCTCCCACGGGTTAAATTGAGGATATTAAAATGAGACTATCCTGGATTATCCAAGTGGGACCCAAACATAATCACATGTATCCTCATAAGAGAGTGGCAGAGGGAGATTTGACAGACAGAGTAGGAAACAATGTGACCATACAGACAGAGATTGGAGGGATGTGACCATAAGCCAAGGAATGCTGGCAGCCACCAGAAGCTGAAAGAGGCAAAGACTAGATATTCCCTCTAGAGTCTCCAGAGGGAGCACTGCTCTGCCAACACCTTGATTTTGGCTCAGTGATACTTGGTTTTGAATTTATGGCCTTCAGAACTGTGAGAGAATATGTTTCTGTTGTTTTAAGCCACCAAGTTTGTGGTAATATGTTACAGCAATCAAATCACAGGAACCAGTGCAGTAGGTTATGTTGTCTATGAATAATATTTCAGGAGTTAGACAACATTGAGACTAATAAGGTCGAGAGCAGCTGCTCTTGCACATCACTGATAGCCACATACTTCAGCCTCTAGTGTGAACTCTATTCTCCACTAGCTCCATTCTCACCACCTGTGACAAGTGCAGAGTTGCACCAAGGTACTAAGTGGTTGGGTGCTTTTGGTGAAGGGGGTAAAAAGGGTAAAGGCCCTTTTTCCCCAAAAAATTACCATCTTTTGCAGAAACTTTAGGGTGCTTTGAGTACTCTTTCTAAGATTGCCTGTCTCTCATACCTCTCTGTGAACCTAGAACTGATCTCTACATGAGAGGAACCCCACCTTCATTGGCCAAGTGAACCAGGGTGGCATCCAGGGAGCAGAATTAATAATGGGGTGCTAAGATCCCTTCTGCCCTGAGACTTTGGAAGAAACATGTCCCCCTCTGACTAATCTTTCAGTGCCTTTTCTCCATCAAAGTGGGCCAAAATTAGGGAGTAGGCCATGAAGAAAATAAGCAGAGAAGATTGACACCTGCCTCATAGCTCCTATGAGGCCTAGAGTGGAAGTCTCGGTCATTACTAAGGAGAGGTTCTTCCTGGTGTGTCCCCTTTTGCAGATACTTTTCAGGACCTGACAGACATAGCTGCCAAATACAAGATTTGGTTATTCTGGACTCAGGTCAACATCCTCTAAGAGACAAAATTAGTATTGATCTGTTCATGACATTGCCAAGTAAAGACCTTGTCATTGAAAACTCACCCTCAGTAATTGAAATTCCTGTCTCCAACTATACCTAGTATTGACCTCCCACCTATACCTGTCTGCCCTCAATCATGATCCAATTTACAATTGTCATCCAATCTAATATTGACATACCTGGCATTTATAGTTGCTTCTGCATAAGAGTGTCTGTGTATTCTATAATCCAATGATTTCAACTTTATTCATCTATTAAGAATTTCTTTATCCTTTTTGTGGACCACCACACATGTCAAGGTCAACAGGCCTTGACAAAACATGCAGAACCACCAGGTACATGATCAGAATGCCAGACCCACAGACAGCATTTCCATAGATACTGGGTCACTTCTAAACTTATCTTTTTCTCTCTGCTTCTAGCATTTGGGTGCTTAGTGCCTGCTGAGGATACACCATCATGCAAAGACTAGGGAGTGCAGTTGGAGTTCAGCTCAGTTAGCATCTGCCCTGAACTAGCTGCTTAATTTTCCTGCAGTCATTGAATAGATTCAGTACTCTTTATGTCACAGGATTCTAATTTGGGACCGTAAATATCCTTTGTGGCTTCAGAAGGCAGTGCCTGTCTATGACCCACCTTTATCATTTTACAAAAATTTGGCATGCTGTGCATTTTAGGGGAAGTACTTTCATTATTTTCCCAAAGGGATCTGTTACCTTCAAAGTATTCAAGACCACTGCAGTTTATTAATAAGATGAATCTCTTCTTTAAGACTCCAGGATAGATTTCATTTCTGCCTTTCATAGAAAAGAAGTGTGTGATGTCATCAAACTACTACAGAAGATATTTCTGAATCTATGACATCATGCCCACACTACTCACCTTGCCAAGTCATTAAGATCCAACCGGCCATCTTTATTTTTGTCAAAGATCTTCATCTAGAAAGCAGAATGGGAGATGGTTGTAAGAAATTCTTGTAACATGGATTCATTTTGACAATTATTAATGCACTTTTCTATTTTTCTCTTCTGCATACATTGTATTTGGCTAAATTGGCTAAGGAATCCATCTACATAGGAGAAGGTTAGGATTTGCTACAGAAGGGATCCATGTCAGCTTTTGTGTTAGTCAGGATGGGTTGTAGTCACTAAATCTCCCAGATTACATAGGTTTAACACAACAAAAGTTTATTGCTTCTTCATTTCATACTAACATCAAAGTTAGTTGGGAGTTCCAATTCATGTCTTCTACATTCTGGATTCCAGAGTGACAAAGCACCACTACCTGAAACATTCCTGGTTGTCATGGCAGAAAGAGAAAATGGTAAATCACATACTGATGAAAATGCTATTAGCCAAAGCAAGTCCTTGGCCACAGCTACTGTCAAATGGTCAGGGCAGTGAGATTCTACCATGTGCCTGGGAGGAGAATTGGACTTATTTGGTGGATAGCAATAACAATAGCCACAGTTGCTGACAGGTACAATAGGATCTTGCATAATGATTATAAGCTTGAAGTCTGGGCTTTGGCTTTGAGACAGAATTGTCTAATTTTTTTCTCCCTCTTTAGCATATTAACAACCAAGCCTGAAGGTCTCCTATCATAGAGTATTCCCTATGGTATAGAGAAGAAGTCTTTTTTTTTTTTTCATGAAGGCAAGGCGAGTTGAGGAAGACATGATGTAGGAGAAAGCCTTCCTTCTCTAGGACCCAAAAGATTATAGGAAGAAAAAGAGAGAAGGGCAGAGATTGGAGAGTAAAATAGGTGCATAATCTAACTCTGTTGGAAGGGATACCTTGGAGGGAGAGAGAAATTAGACAGCGATGAATAACACTGGGCAGAGAGAGTTGCTGTGGCTTAGCTTTCCCAGAATACTCTCGGTGCCATGTGGTGTGAATGCTAGCCTTCCATGGGGCTAGCTGTGTAACATGCTGCTGGGACAGAGGGTAGGGTGGGTCACTGAGCCAGCAGGCTGGAAGGAGGATGTATCAGAGAATTAGTGCTCTGAATTCAGTGAGAGGTACGGGATGACTGGCTTAACAAGCACCATCAACCTTTACTTTCTGGCGGAGTTGCAGGAGCCAAGAGCACGGACCATGAGTTTAACGCAGACTTCAGCCATACATCCAGCAGGATAAAAGCAATTGGATAGTCAAAGGGCATCACCCTGGAGACCAGAAGACCAGAAGAGCATTTGTGCTCAGGGACCTCAACTCTTCCTCAGCACCATGAGGTCACATAAACAACTTCTATCCCCTTATTTTTTGGAGAAGAATCTCATTTGGATGAAGATGACTGTAAAAATCTAAGAGACTGAGATTTTACCCATTGTAGGGTGAATTAGTATTGTCCAAAGGGACTGCTTCAACTATTAGGTCATATTAACCTTTAAACCTACTACCCATCTGTTAGTTTGTGTACTATGGTAGTTTGCATGTTGCTATAATGTTGTAAACTATGCCACCAGTGTTTCAAATACTAGCAAGGTCACTCATGATGAACATGCTTTGGCAGAGCTTTCAGATTAAGACAGACTAGGAAAAGCAGCCTCGTAATCTATTTACAAAATTTACCCAATGAAAACCCTATGAATCACAAAATATTATACAATGTAGCACAGGAAGAGGAGCTCCCTAGGTTGCAAGGCACTCAAAATGCACAATGGCTCCAGCAATAGACTTGAGCATGCCAGCAGTTATGAAGGTGGCACTGGGATGGGCAACATTTCACTCTGACAAGGATGAATAACACTAGGCAGAGAGAGTTGCTGTGGCTTAGCTTTCCCAGGATACTCTTGGAGCCAACTTGATGATAGCAACCAACAACAACAACAACAAACCTTTAAAGAAAAGAAGACTAAAAGTTAAACATTTCTCCACTGGAACACCAGACTGGTTTAGGCAAAATAGAGGAGATATATTTTCTTTACATATCTCAGTTGTAGTGAGTGAATTTTGTGACTTTACAATGTTTTGATGCAGGCTGAACATCTCTAGGCATATCTATAAGAGGAGGTTGTACAGGTAAAAAGATGTAGTGAGACAGTCTGAGAATATATTCAAGATATTTTTGCATTAAAATATATCAGTCCCTTATCCTTCTGCTTTCCCCAAATCACTTTTATTTCTAAAACTAGAAAGCTCATTCTCTCTAAATTTTGACTTCAAAATCTATTTGAACAGATTATAATTTTATACATTTGAATACAGTACACATCTTATTATATCCTTTAAACATAAAAGCTGGAGGATGTCATGAGCTTTTTTTCTGTGGCACCATTGTTAAAAAGGGATTTTACCTTAATAGAAAGCTAGATTATCATGAGCTTTAAGCAAGTAGTAAGTAACTCAACTTGAAAGACATGGATCTGTCTCCACTGCTATGTTAATTTACTCAATGGGGGGAAAAAAATCTTGCTGAAATACTCATGTTCATCACAGCACCATTCCTAATAGCAAAAAGATGGGAACAACCTAAATGCCCATCAACAGAAGAATGGATCAACAAACCATGCACACAATGGAATACTATGGAACTTTAAAGAACAATGATCAATTTGCAAAAGATCTCATAAAATCTGTATGAACTTAGAGGGCTATCATGCTGAAGTTAGTCAATCAAAAAAGCACAAATATTGTATGAGACCTTTATTGTTAAAAGTCAAGAAAAGAGTTTCACAAAAA